TAAGAAATATTCAAACTAAAGGTGACTTTTTAAATAATGTGTTCTTTCAAGAGCCTAAATGTTTTAAGTTTTTTTCCCTGCAAGTGAGTTTTTTTATTATAGATCAAATGCAACAAATGTATGTCTTGTATGATAAGCTGAAATAGTGAAGTATTTATTTATTTTAACACTATTCATTTCTTTTTACAATACAAAAATCTGTTTTTCTTTTTTAACAGGGCCATAATTCCTTTTAATTTGATTATATTCGGCACACTGTCTGTCTCTGAAAGGCCTTTTCTGCTGGTGAAAGCAGCACCTGAGTTGTTCTTTTGCTTTCAGACTCAGAAACTTTACCTCAAGAAAGAAAGAGGCCTAGAAAGCTCTCGCACAAGGTGATGGAGTGTAGCGTGGAAGAAGTGTCAGCAGTTCCTTCAAAGAAAAAGGTATGTTTACCAAAACCATATAAGTATTCACACCCCTTCAACTTATTGTTATTATCTGTAAAGGAGCTAACAGTTAGGTTTGATGAGCTCTGAGGGAAGCTGCAGCACTCAAGAATAAATGTTGAAATTACCAGAAGAAAACGATAAATGCTAATAAAGGCTTTTCTTTGGTCCTTTGAGAAGAGTTGTGTTTTTTTTTTTTTTTTTACATAATTTGGTCTATTTTTTAAGTTTTTCTTTAATATCATTGTTGATATTTCCTGTCATTACCAAACAGACACAAGGTTGTCCTTTCCATAAAAATTATTTGCTGGGAGTTTGAATCATTTTGGGGCTTAACTGTAACCCATGCTTGAAATACAGAGATGTTTAAACAAAGCATTGGAGGGGATGAATACAAATACACACCTCATTTTCTAGATGTTTATTTGTAAAAAAGCAAAAAACTGATATCGTCCTTCCATTTTATAAACAATGCATTTTTTTTTCTGTAGATTTTTACAATTAAATCAATTAACAGCAAGTGTATTTAAATGGCACATCTTAGTAGCGAGACGATTTAAAGTGCTGTACGTGGGAAAAAAATAGGAAAACAGAGAAATGTACATTGCATGGGCATAAGGGTTATTAAATACATAATAAGAAATGAACAATTCAAGTAAATGAAAATGAATAATTAAAGGCCTTCGTGCAGTCCTGGAACAAAATGGCAATTATTAGCTACTTATGAAAGCTCCTTCTATCTGTGAGACAGCGCTCAGGGTAGCGGGGAGGTAGTAACAGTAGGAAGTCACTAAATTTGCCTGAATCACAGAGAGAGGACACTAAATTTGTTTCCAGGGCTTCTTTGAAAAGAAAAAGAAAACAGATTCTAGAGGGCTAAATAAAAAAAAACCCGCTTAGATAGTAAAGAGCAACTAGAGATGATTTTGCTAACAAGAGCCACCAGGTAGCTTCATACACTAACCAGCTTTGCAGCAAGTTGGAAAGGAGCTGGAGGGGTTGGTTCTCCATAATAAAGTAATAATAATTCATTTAATTTATAATGCACTTTTCACCAAAAAGGCCTCAAAGTAAATATACCCCTTCACCTCAGTAAATAAGTAATACATTTAATGACTATGAAAATCATTGTAAACTCTGATAATGATTAGAATAAGTCCACATATGTACGGTTTGTTAAATTATTTTCTTTACATTGTTTTATCCTTCATTTTTTATTCATTCTGAAGCTATGGTGGCTTTATTTTGCTGTGGCGGTGCACCATGATCAATTAGTTCTAGTGAGGACTCTTATAGCAGCATTCTGGACCAGCTGCAACTGTCTGACCTGTGACGGCGCTGTTACAGTAATCACGTTGGCTAAATTTGAACTTATTAATAAGTTTTCAACTTCCTGCGGGAACATTAGTCGTTTACTGGTGGGGCCCTAAGATGGACCCTTGGAAAACCTGCATACTGTATGATTTCCATCTCCATAAACTTGCCTACTGATATAGAAAAATCCCTTTAAATAAATACTTTAAGTAGGATTTATATAGGGTAAGATAACCACCTACAGAAAGTATGCATTGATGTTTGAGTTTGTAAATAAATGACAACAATGGGAATAAATTTAGGATTTTAATTTGTTCCTTTATGTCAACTCATAGGTATGTATGACAACAGATCTTCATATTTTGGAATACAATGTAGGAAGTTAAAATTGCAATAATACTAGTATAAATTCTAGAATTTACCTATGCAAATGACAAATTAATGAGTACGACTCTTAAATGTACACGCACAAACCACACATTTACGAGTACAAATTTACTATTTTAAAATTGCAAATCAAAAATTTATGAATAGAAATCAAAATTTTCAAGTAAGAAATTCACAAATTTACTAATGTTAATCACAAATGTACATGTACAAATCACAAATTTACGACTAGGAAATTGTACTCAATGTTTTGTGAGTCATATTTGTAAACTTGAGATTTGGATTTGCAAAATCTGGAATTTTTGATCCGTACACTGCAAAAATTCTAAAGAAATAAGCAAAAAAATGTACTCTTAATATAAGATAATTAGATAATATGCACTTGAAATAAGACAATGCTATTGTTCTTTCTTATTTGAAATGTAAATTGTTAAAGTATCTCCCTTGCCTCCTCAATTCAAGAACAGATGCACTTATTTAGATTTTAATTTTTATGCAGTGTTCTTGTAGTTTTGCAGTTGTAACCTTCTAACACATATTCTTAATCTTATTCAAGACATTTTTATTTAACATTTTTAGACATTTTACACATATAATTTTTTTGACAGCTATCTAACCCCATAGATTTTAACCAGTCCAGTTTTCTACCAGAAAGGCCAACCTTTATTAAAATGGAATGATGCTAATAAGATGCATTGTAAAACATTAAGGAAATCAATGCATCTGTCTGTTTTTTTTTATTCCTGCATTAAGAACACTGAATATTTTCTTTTGTTCATAGGAAGCAAAAAGGCAACTCAGCATAGCATCGGATGTGAAAGTGTTGGTCAAGAAAACACAGGTATTAATAGAATCACTAAGTATCGGTCACTATATGCTGAAGTTCTGCTTTTTTATGCTAAACTCTGTATTTTACTGGATAAGGTTGCTTCAGAGACGAAAGAAAAACCATCCCCTGCTGGAGCCTCCAAGTGTTCAGAGAGCAGGTCCCCGAGCCCCCAACAGAATAAGACCCCAAAGCAGGAGGTGGAGACGGAGCCCTGCAGCAATGAGGAGAAACAGGACGCACACGCTGGAACACTAACTCCTAAACCTGAGGTGCACATGTTATGTTGTCTCCTAACAGAAAGGAAAATCATTAGATCTTTTTAATCTGTTCCTGACTGCACCTCAGTAACATTCGATGATGTTGATCCCTTTAGGCTCTGCCAGTGGGTTTGAATGAGGGTCTCTCCCTCCAGGGGGACGTTAAGGGAAGGATAGGAGCTGCATCTTTCAAGGAGAACGTCTGCCAGGTGAAATTACCCTCGCCTGTCTGTGATGATTATCTTCACCTTCTGTTTTATATAAGGAAGGTATTCTTATGTTGGCTCTAATAGGTGTGTGAGAAAACAGGAGAGCTTCTGGTGTGTGACGGTCCATGTTTTGGAGCCTTTCACCTGCAGTGCATCGGGCTCTCTGCAGCTCCCAAAGGAAAATTCCTCTGTCAGGAATGTAAAACCGGTGGGTCTGGCTTTGTGAGCTTCAAACCATGACAGGTTTTCCCTGAAACACACCAGAGTTTTCAGATTCTTTTTTTTGTTGTTTTTTTCACTTTCATTTCAGGCGTCCATAAGTGCTTTGTGTGTAAGAAGTCTGATAATGGGGTGAAGCGCTGCATCATCCCGCTTTGTGGGAAGTTTTACCACTCGGACTGCATCATGGCGTATTCGCCCACCCAGCCGCACAACAAGGGCTTCCGCTGCCCCCTGCATGTGTGCCTGTCGTGCCACATCACCAACCCTCTGAACGCCTGCAACTCCAAAGGTAGGCTTCCATGCATGCCATTTAGAGTCTGTTGTAAACACAACCCCATTTGCATCAGATAAAAATCAAAGCTGAACCTTAAACTGTCCCGTCCCGTTCTGGGATGTGGTGCCTCAAAATCTGCAGCCTCATTCTGCCAAAATAAGGCAACTGTCCGCCATTACAACATTTTTTGTCAGGCTAGACCTTCCCAAGGGGTTAAAAAAAGGTGATTTAAGATTGTTTTTGGTGGTTTCAGTGATGCCAGTGAACACGTTAAAAAAAGATGCTCTTTTTCAAGCTAAGTAAATGAGAAAAAATGCAAGATGAATAAATTATTATTATTAAAAACACCAGTAATTAATAGGCGACAAAATACAGGGAAATGATCAATTCTAAATGTCATAGTCAGCTATAAATATGTAAAATACTATCAAGCTCTAGTCAGCCAAAAAGGAGTTAATATTTAAAAATATATAAAGTAATAATATATAAAAGATAAGAATAGAAATAACATTTAAAAACCTTGCAGCATAATCAATTAATTAAACTAAGCTTTAAGTTTTCCTTTAGAGGTTCTTGATAAGATATTACCAACTCAGCATGGAAAGCCTGAGGGAGGACGATAAATCTGACAAAACCTCATGAACAGTTTTAAAACCACTGAAATAATAAAAAAAACACCCGGTTATGTATCTGCTTTATAGGTCACAATGTTTACATTGGCCATAAATAACAAAATATTATCCTGTCATATTAAATCAGTTTTAAAATGTACAGCTGGCCTAATGTATATGGCCATAGTTTTGCACTCAGATAATTGAGGTCTGGGTTACAGAGATCGCAGACCGGGCGGGGGGGTAAAAAGACTCTCTTCATGTGGATAAGATGGATACTATTTTTTGCTTATTTTCTGGGTGAATCCTGAGGTTTTACAGTTAAAACAACACATTTATTACACTTTTTCACCTCTCTGTTACTGGTGTAGCTCTAGCTTTGTGCTAGCCAGAATAAACTGTTTGACTCTGCTGCCATCTGCTGGTAAACCAACATCCATGGGTGTTACAATACTTCATTAATTATCACACAGTGATTCTAAGCAATTCAATACAGCACATTAGTTAGGGATAAGATGAGTTGATAATCTGTCTTAAAATCATGCTAACTAGGCTACTGAATGAAGTCCAAAAGGATTTGATAAAAAGCTTTTTTCCTCCCAAAATCAGCTCGACCAAGTTCCCATAAATATTTTCTCTTTTTCTTTAAAATAATTTGATATAATGAATTTTAGGTTCTCTGACCTAAAAATGCAAAGTTACAGTTTTCAGTGTTCTTTGTAACTTGATGTATTATTTATAGATCCTCTCATTTACTTTTTCTGTTTCTCACTTATTGTGTTGGTCCTTCTGTCCCTAAAAGTATCTCTGTTGAGTTTTAAATATCTGGAGATGTGCAATAAAAATTAAAAAAAGCAACAGAAACCTGGCTTTCTCCTAATTTAATTCCCTGCTGAGTCTTGATTTCAGTCATTGAGCATTATAATGTCACAAGAACAAATTCATGACTCCATGCATATGTGGAGGGAGTTTTGTTTCTATATAGTTCTGGTAAAGAAAATATTTTGTAAATGGAAATATAAAAAGAAAAAAAAAAGGTTTCACAATTTGTTTTTCATCATTTATTTTCTCAGATGTAATTTTTTTCAAAATTTTTTAACAGATTTTAATTTTCTTTCTATTTCAAATTTTTTTTTATTTCTCTTTTTTTTTCAGACCAAGTTTGAAAATAATTAAATTCATAAATTAATCTGAAAGAGACATTCGGAAAAAATAGCATTTGAAAATATAAAGAATCTGCTCATACATTTTTGCTTCAAGCTTGTCCCTGCTGGGTCTGCTGGTGTAAAAAAAAATTGTTAAAGATAAAATTTGAAATAATGATAATTTGATGAAACAGCAAAGTTACACTCAAAACATTTGCTTTGATTAAAACATTTATTTATTTGTTTTTTTAAGTTTCAGTTCTGGATTGAATTATTTTTTAATTTTCCATTTTCAAAAAAAGTTCTTGGTTTGCAACAATAACAGAACAAATTCACCCCATACATACATGCGGAGTATTAAAACGGTTTTATGTGAGCATACTTTTTATTTTTCATTCTTGTGGATAAAACTTACCTGTTATAGAAGCATTTTTTGTGTAATGCAGCTGATCATTATTGTTTACCAAAAGTTTCTGCCTCAAACTGGGAGAAAGTTGTGATCTCTGTTGATTTCCTCCAAATAATAAAACATGTTCTTTGAATAATTTCTTAATTAGCTGTGAAAGTATCATACCTCTGTTAAAACTTAAGTTTTTTTCCTGATTTGGCTAAAGAAAATTCTCTATACTGCAGTTTTATAATCTTTAGCTTCAACCTTTAATTTATAATATCTGACTGTATGTCAGGACGCACCTCGTCCTCAGCTGCATTCTTACATGAATGTCTTAAGCTGTAAAAAAATATGTATGTGAAAACAGAGCGAGCAAACTGGTTGGTTTAATGTTTCAAATATATTTTATTCTGGAAAGCTGTGTTTGCTCTATTAAAGTCACGTGTGGAAATCTGTTCATGTGGATGAATCAGTCTGCTCAGTGCTTTGTTTTTTCTCTCCTCAGGTCGGCTGGCGCGGTGCGTCCGCTGTCCTGTAGCCTATCACCCCAATGATAACTGCATGGCGGCAGGCAGCCTGGTGCTGGCCAACAACAGCTTCCTGTGTCCAAACCACTTCACTCCTCGCAAAGGCTGCAAGAACCATGAGCACATTAATGTTAGCTGGTGCTTCGTCTGCTCTGAAGGTCAGTTTTACTGGTTTACCTTCCAGTCATGGTACAAAAGAACAAAACAAACTGTTATCTGGAGGTTTTATGTGTCGAAGGCAGTAATAAAAACATAATGGTCTTTAACAGGTCCTAAATGTATTTAAATCTCACCTCAAAGATGCACAAAGCTAACAGATCCAAAAAGGTTTGCTCTTTGCTTCTGTAGTGTTTTAGATTCATCCGAGAAAGATGGATACATCTGCGTTGTTTGTTGTATTATTAGTACGTTTATCTTGCATCAGCCGATATGTTCATGCTTCCATGTTTTATTTGTAAAAAAAAAAAAACTCTTTCTTTTGTTGATATTGAGACGTTGCTACATTTGTTCAGCTGACCAGTAGTAAGTCAGCGTCATAATGATCAGACTCTCCTCAAGTTTACCCATAATGCAACATAGGTTTGGGCGATATAGAAAAAAAGCTTATTGATAAAAAAAAATGCGTATTGATCGATATCGATAATTATTGAAAAGATTTGAAACCATATTTTATGTGCAGCTCTGCCTGGACTTTTTATAATATTGCTAAATGATTTAATTTTAATAAAGAACACAAANTTTATTTAACCAACTTTTTTAACCATAACAGAATTGTTTTAAAGAAAAATAACTTAAGAGACCTGGATAGGACTAAGGCCTCCATACATGGGTTGTGCGCACTAACCACTGCGCTACCTGCACTCCCCAAAACCTTTTTTAATTAAGAAGTTTTTCATAGTTTCATGTATGGATTAGATCCCATATAGAAAATCGATTCTTTGCTACAATAATAATGGAACAAAATTAACTCCATAAAGAATCAGGAAGCGAACACTTATATTCTTCCAGAGCACAACTGCTTAAGGTTTTTGGTTCAGGTTTTTGGAAACCTCGCATTAAGGACATACTGTGTGTCAAATGGGGACGTTATGAGCTATCAAATTTACGCCTTACCAGATTTTATTCTCATTTACTTCTCCTACATGTAAAAACTCTCCTCCAAGCTGGTCACAATCTGCAAAACGTCACATTTCACAGATCAAACCTTCCCAAATCTGAGGCATGAACTTGTGTTTTCTTGTTTGACTGTGCAGGGGGCAGCCTCCTTTGCTGTGAATCCTGTCCTGCTGCTTTCCATCGGGAATGTTTGAACATAGAGATGCCTCAGGGTAGCTGGTTCTGCAACGACTGCAAAGCTGGGAAGAAACCTCGCATTAAGGACATACTGTGGGTCAAATGGGGACGTTACAGGTAAGAGGCACCTTTTTATCCTACTGTCCAGGCGGCAGCAGATGGAGCTAGTCTGACAGCTGATCTGATGCCTCAGGTGGTGGCCCGCTGAAGTGTGCCTGACCAAAGACGTTCCAAATAAGATCCTGAGGATGAAACATGATGTGGGAGAGTTCCCGGTGCAGTTCTTTGGCTCCAACGATTTTGTGTGGACTTACCAAGCCAGAGTCTTCCCCTACATGGAGGGGGACACTCACAACATAGAAAAAATGGGGAAAGGTGCTGACGCAGTGTACAAGAAGGGTATGTGTGTTTTAATATGTATTTATGGTGAATTCTGCTTAGAAAGACACGATTAAGATTCCATTTGTGTCTTTAAAGCACTGGCTGAGGCAGCGGAGCGTTTCAAAGAGCTCAAGAAGGAGAAAGAAATCAAGCAGCTCCAGGAGGACAGAAAGAACGATAAGAAACCGCCCCCATACAAACACATTAAGGTACGTCGACCTGACCCAGCTGGCCGTATAATCAGCTGATAGACCACCTGAAAATACGACGCCTGTTGCTTTGTGACCCAGGTGAACCGACCCATCGGGAAGGTGCAGATAATCACTGCCGACTTGTCGGAGATCCCTCGCTGTAACTGCAAGGCGTCCGATGAGAACCCCTGCGGCGTGGACTCGGAGTGCATAAACCGCATGCTGATGTACGAGTGCCACCCTCAGGTGTGTGCCGCCGGGGAACGATGTCAGAACCAGACTTTCACAAAGCGACAGTACACGCCGGTGGAGATTTTCAGGACCCTGTCCTGTGGATGGGGTTTACGGGCCATCACAGACATCAAGAAGGTAAAATGGGAACGGATGAAAGGATTTTATTACATTTGGCTTTTTAATCATGTGATTATTTAATTATATCCCCTCAGGGCGCTTTTGTGAGTGAATATGTTGGAGAGATGATTGATGAGGATGAATGTCGTGCCAGAATTCGACACGCTCAGGAGAATGACATCTGTAACTTCTACATGCTGACCCTGGACAAGGTGATTCTGTGACAGATATCATTCAATCGGGCCTGAAGATGGGACAGATGAACAAACACACTGAGTAGAGGAATAAACTTTTTGTTGTTGTTGTTTTGGTTCAATTAGGATCGGATCATCGATGCTGGACCCAAAGGAAACCAAGCACGCTTCATGAACCACAGCTGCCAACCAAACTGTGAGACGCAGAAGTGGACTGTAAACGGCGACACCAGGGTTGGGCTGTTCACCCTGCAGGACATCCCAAAAGGTCTCAGAGATGGAGTCGATGTTAAATTCTGTTTTTACTTTGTTTTTGATGTAAAGCTTGTAGCTCAGTGTATTTAAATTAATTTGAAAATACTAAGGAATATGGAAAAGCAATGAAAGAAAGAAAGCTACAGATTCAATATGGGTTTTTAAAGTGAAGATTTACATGCAACTTCCCAGAAAGGATGAAATCAGGAGAAAAGTTGTTTTAGAGATTTAGGCAAACTGCCCAATGGTTTAAAACAGCATATTATTCACAGAAAAGGCCTGTAGCAGTCTGCTGCTGGAGGAGCACTCCTGTTATGTAACCGCTATCCAACAGGGCATCCAATAGGGATTCTGTATGGAGTGAACTTTGTTTCATTATTGTTGCAAGCAAAGAACACATATTGTAAATGCAAAAATTTCAAATTTTCATTACTGCTATCGAGAAATTTAATTTCTTTTTTTTCACCTCAAGCATAATTCAAACGCTTGCTTTCAAACAATAAAAATGTATTAGC